TTTAAAAACAACATTTATTTGTAATACTTTTAATTATATATGGGTGGGGTATGGCATATGAGTGCAAATGCCCCAAAAGGCCAGAAACATTGGATCCTCTGGAGCTACAGTTACAGGTGGTTATGATGCAGGGGCTGGGAGCCAAACTCTGGTCCTCTGCAAAAGCAGTTTATGCTCTTAACCATGGAGCGACCTTGTCAGCCCCTTTCTTAAGAAAGCAGAAAGCCAAGAGAGCTTTTCATTTTAAAGCATTCTTTAATGTACGTTCCTGAAAGGGTCATCGAGCTTCTGTGAGAGGAGATGATAAGGGAGCCAAGGGCAGACTTTCCGAGCCCTGAAGAGGTTTCGGAGCAGATGATGTCCACTCTGATGGTGACAACGGGAAATGAAGAAAGGTGTCTCAGCAAGAGGGTAGCTGAAAGCCAAGGGAAGAGTTGGGGCTGGGGGCGTGGCTCATCAGCCAACGCATTTGTTGTGCAAGCGTGAGGACCAGAGTTCAGATCTCCAGAACCCACGTGCATGCGGGTGTGGGTGGTGGGCCACCTATATAGTTCCAGCCTCAGAAAGAGGAGGCGGGATTCCCAAGAGCAGACTGGCTAGCAGGACTATCAGGGAGCTCTAGGTTTGATTGAGCGACCCTAACTCAATGAATTAGGTGGGAGAGCATCGGAGAATGATTCTGTCTCCACACCCACGGGCCGCTCATGTGCCACATGCATGTACACATGCGCGTGCATATTCACGCGTGCACACACGGATGAATGAAAACAGGAAAGAGACAGAACGGCTCAAACTTCTACCCACTTCTGTTTTGGACAACCTGGGTCTGCGGTGACATTTGAGGGGAGACTGCACTGGGTAGAAATGCCAGTCTTACAGACTAAAGCCAGCAGTCACGAGGCCAGGGAGAAAGGAAGTCTTGAGGAAAGAACGGAAAACAAAAAGAACAGAAAGACCCAGATTTTAGGACACTTGGTTGCGCTGAGCAGTTCCTCCCTAAGGCCCAGCTGTTAGCTCTCAGGGATGACACGCCTGTCTGCTGCCCGAATTTAAGTTCACGCCTCTGCTTCTGCCTCTGGGCCTATTTCACCCCATCTGCCGTCTGTTTGCTCAGCACCAACCACTTGCTCCTCTTCTATTTGCAGGCTCACTGGTGGGGGCCCATTCTCGACACCTACTGTGGCCTTGTATCGCTTCCTTACCAATAATGAAACTGATGAATCAACCTTTGTAGACTTCAGCGTGTCACATAGCCACAATCTGAGCACTTGATACAGAGTTATCCACAGGATAGCTGCCAAATGCTGTCGTGGGGTTTCCACTGCTGTGACATTGCTGGGCTCCGGCTGGTCTCACTCCATGGTTACTGCTGTTCTTGGCGGTCATCCCATGGTACTGGCATCTCAAAAACGGGGGGTCTTCTGCTTCAGCCGGGCTGTACTTTCACCAACAGCCTCTCATAGGCTCTCCTCATGGTCCCAAGCCTCAGCTTCTTTGCAAGTCTTCCACATTACCAAGTCCGGCTGCCATCACAAGGTACAGCCTTGGCTGCCTCCAGAACACAGCTTCTCTGTGCTCTCAGGAAACACTTGCAGAAGATTTCACCAGGGGTACCGGTCTCCTCTTAATCACCGCTAATTTCTTAGCTCCTGCTGACCAGAATCAGTTGTCCCAGCGACATCAAGGTTTCACCTCAGTAGTTCTGGGATCTTATTAAACACAGCTGATTCTTCAGCCCCAGCTAACCAGAACCACAGGATCTTAATTCCAAATAGCAAATGGCCCTGATAGAGTCTTTAAGCTTTCCTCTGAAACTTTGCGAGCCAGGCCTCCATCGTCTACACTTCACTCAATATTCTTATCTTTCCAAGTTCCCACAGAACATCCCACTGAGGTCTCAATACTCAATGGCTCTTCTAGCCCAAAGTTCCAAAGTCCTTCCACAATCCTCCCCAAAGATGGCCATGTCTGTCAAAGCAATACCACACGATACTGGTACCAATTTGTCTTAGTTGGTGTTTCTATTGCTGGGACAAAACACCATAACCAGAAAGCAAGTTGGGGAGGAAAGGGTTTATTTGGCTTACACTTGGGCATTGCTGTTCAGCATTGAAGGAAATCAAGACAAGAACTCAACAGGGCAGGATCTTAGAGGCAGAAGCTGATGCAGAGGCCATGGAGGATGCTGCGTATTAGCTTGCTTCCCCTGTCTTGCTCAGTCTACCATCTTGTAGAACTCAGGACCACCTGCCCAGGGATGACACCACCCACAATGGGCTGGGGCCTCCCACATTGATCACTAAATGAGAAAATTCCTGCAGCTGGGTCTCTTCGAGGCATTTCCTCAACTGAGGCTCCTTCCTTGGTGACTCTAGCTTGTGTCGAGTTAACACACAAGACCTCCAGTGTACCTGCAGAGGGTCAGGTGGTACTTTCAACATTGCATCCACATTTTGAACCTGGTGTGTACCACTGCTTGGGGCTTGACTGTCTGGCTTCATAAGACTGGGCCAAGGACTGGGGAGATGGCTCAGTGGATAGAGAGCTTGCCATATAAAAGCCAGACCGGCAAGGTAGCCCACCAGGAATGTATTTGGGAGGCATATACGGATTCGCTGGGGGGAGCTGGTGTAACCAGATTAGAGGAATTACTGAATTTTAGGTTCAGTGACAAACCTTTCCTTGAAAATATAAAGTGGAAAGTGGTGGAGGAGGACACGTGACATCAACCTCTACCCTCTACACACACATACACACACAGTGCACACACACACACACAGAGTGAACACACATATACACAGTAAACATGCATACGCAGTGCATACACACAGTGAACATGCGTATACTCACACACATTGAACATTCATACACACATTGATGTAACACGTATTCTAATTGGTCTTAATAATAAAAAATCAAAGTCAGCTGTCAGTGAAAGCTGAAGGACCAGAGAAACAGAGTAGCCAGCCGCTAGAGCTCTTACCTCTACCAATGCTCAGACCAAAGGGGTGATCCTGTCCTCAGACTGCGTCCTCAGACTGACTGCCTCAGACTGCAATGAACCCGTCTCCTCCTGCCTTATATTCCTCTCTCTGCCCAGCCATATCACTCCTGTCTCCACCTCCTTAATGCTGGGATTAAAGGCGTGGGATCCCAAGTGCTGGGATCACCTTTGTGTGAGCTCTGTTTCTCTCTGAAACTGGATCAATCTCCTGTAGCCCAGGGTGGCTTTGAACTCACCAAGATCTGTCTGTCTGTCTCCCAAGTCCTGGGATGGATTAAAAGTGGGTGCCACCACTGCCTGGCCTCTAGTGGCTTAGCTCTGCACTCTGATTTTCAGGCAAGTAGTACATGTAGTGCATGTGTGCTCACGCATGTGGAAGCCTGAGGTTGATGTCAGCATCATCCTCCATCACTCTTGGGGCAGGGTCTCTCAATCAAACCCAGAGCTTGCTGATATGGCTAATTTCATTAACCATCTTGCTATGGCGATCCCATCTCCATCTTTCAAGGCTGGAAGAACAACATGCACACCTGGCATTCATGTGGATTCTGGGGATCTGGACGGCACTTTGACTACTGAGCCATCTCTCCAGCTCTCTCTCTCTCTCTCTCTCTCTCTCTCTCTCTCTCTCTTTCTCTCTCTCTCTCCCACCCCCCCCTTATTCTCTCCCCTTTAGGATTAAAGATAACCATGTTAAGGGAATGAAGACAGATTAGGGATAAATTATTGGAATTTGTACATTTATTTAGACTTCTTACCTTTGATGTGAATATTCTTGAGTGCATATTTATACGAAATAATGGTTTTCATAACACTATGTCTGTTTTCACCATGGCCCCTAGAGCCACAGTATAATGTTAATTTCTTTCTGTGCATATGTGTGAGTGAATGTTTATGTGCGCATGCACATGTCTGTGGTGTGAATGTTCATGAACATGTATGTGTATATACTTGTGCATGTGGAGGCCAGAGGTCAATATCTGGTGTTTTTCTCATTTTCTTTATGCATATATATGTATATGTATATAAATATACATACATACACACATACACACACATATGCAGGGTCTCTCATTGAACCTAGAACTCACTGATTTGGCTACATTGGCCAGGCAGCAAGCTCCAGGAACACTTCCGTCTCCACCTTCCCAGTGCTATGGTTACAAATGTGCCCCACCACACCTGACTTTTACATAGATGCTAGGGATCTGAATACAGGTCCTCTTGCTTGTGAGCAAGTGAGAAATAGCATCATTTCTTCAGCCCCTGTAATGCTAATTTCTGCCCTTGTTACAAACCATTCAATTATAAACTACCAGAACAAGAGGCCCCGGGTTGTCTGTGTATCTTCAATACCTAATGAAGTGTCTGACACCTGTTAGGAAAAACACTCTGTGTGTTCTGGGCAGCTGATAAACGCTGTGTGTTTGTTATCAGTTATAGTGAGAGGCAGGGATGAAGAATGCCATGGAGTCGGGTGGGGCACAGGGTTCCATCCTGGGAACTTGACCACAGCAGGCTGTGAGTGTTCAACAGTATAGAGGTCCAGCCTTGATGAAATGAGCATGTTCCAGGGTAGGAGCGTGAGAATTAGAATTATTAAGCAGAGGGGACAGAGATATGAGAGAAATAAAAGAGAGAGACACAGAACAACACCAGGCGGGACACTCAGTGAATACTGAACCTGACCACAGTTATTTTCCACATGCTTATATACTCCACTCCAAAAGGGGTGGGGGGAGGCAACAGTCTTCATTAACATAATATAAGGAATAGACCAAGTGTCCTGCAGGCAGCTACTCCCTGGAACCTCCTGCTAATCTCCTTTGAAGGAGCAGGAATAGCAAGGTGGAGTGGATTCACCTCTATACTCAAAATACTAATTAACCACACCCAAGGTCAGGATCTCTTGTTTGTAGCCACGCCTGTTGTCAACAACTTTGAAAGAGCAAAAATAAACTCACACTCTCTGACCTCCAGTCAAGGTGGAACAGGACTCACGTCTGTGGGCCTCCACACAACAGCTGTTCACAAAGAACTGTTGTCACCTCCCTCCTTCCTGCCCTCTTGAGAGTGGCAGAAAGATGCAGGGGGCTGGTACAAGGCCACCAGCCCTTGGGGACAGAGGGTAGAATGGCAGGAAATGAACAGAAAAGTCAATGCCTTTTATAACAAGTCTCTCTCTCCTCCTCCTTCCACCAGGTACATCGTGATCTTCTTCCTCATTGTCACCCAACTGGGCTTCTGTTGTGTGTACATTGTGTTTCTGGCGGACAATTTAAAACAGGTACTTTAGACAAGGTGGATGGGAAGGGGAAGACACAGAAGGAAGCTTCTCTACCAGGTTGTTCACCTACATTGCTTCATCTGAGTCCTCAAAAGCTCATTAGTACAACACGGGAAGGGAAAACCATGCTATCGGGTAGCTTAGCCTCCCCCACCCTTCATATAGCTACAGATGTCTACATTACCGTGTGTGTGTGTGTGTGTGTGTGTGTGTGTGTGTATGTGTGTGTGTGTGTGTGTGTGTGTGTGTGTGTACCTGTCCAGGCCATCTTCGGAGCCCATACTTTTTCTCTTAAAAAGTTTATCATCTCAGGTGTTTTATTATATTATAATTTATATGTTATAATATTTATTTATAGCAATGAAAACCTGGCTCTCATAACTGATTCACATTTTGCCAGGTTCTCACATTTCAAATAGCTCGAAGCAGTTTATCACTAAGAATGATCATAACATGATCTGAATTCTGCTGCTGAATTTTATTCCCACCAAGTGTTGGGATTTCAGGTGTCTTCCAGAACGCCTGGTTTATGCAATGCTTGAAATCAAATCCAGAACTTCATGTGTGGCCAGTAAGCACTCTACTAGCTAAGCCATATTCCCGGGCCAACGATGTTATTGTTTATATTATCTTTATTTTATTGTTGGAGGTAGACTCTCATATAGCCCGAGCTAGCCTCAAGCTCACTGTATAGAGGCTCTTCAGAAAGCAAGCTGCTATCTGGCAAACCTCTATTTATGATCTGTTGCTCATGGTCTGCATTTTTATCTGCTGCCTATTAGGGCAAGCACATGCACTGTCTTGAGTGGGTTGCAAGCTAAGTGGGTGGTTCTAAAACACAGCGGGCAAATTTCCATGTGACATCTAGGAGGCAGCTCAGGTGTCGGGAATGCGCACTGTGGTCTAGTAGCATCATTGTGTAGCCCCTGGCATCACAGAAGGCTTCCTCTAGGAGCCATATGTGAGCTGGGCATGCTTGGGCAGCCTTGCAGAGTGGTAGCATCCAAACTAGGGAGAAAGACCTTGAAAAACCTTCCAGGCAGGAAAACATGGACTGTCCCTAGAGAAGCAATTCTACTGGTCATGGAAGACAACGGTGGTTGCATTGAGGAAAAATCCTGACCACTGGACAAAGACCTTTTATGGAGGTTTCTGAGTACCTGGCTAATTTTCTTAGTTAGGGCTTCTATTGCTGTGAAGAGACACCATGACCATGGCAACTCTTTTTTTTTTTTAATATACTTATGCCTGAAGGCCAGAAGAGGGCATCAGATCTCATTACAGATGGTTGTGAGCCACCATGTGGGTACTGGGAATTGAACTCAGGTCCTCTGGAAGAGCAGACAGTGCTCCTAACCACTGAAACATCTTTCCAGTCCAACCATGGCAACTCTTATAAAGGAAAATGTTTAATTGGGGTGGCTTAAAATTCAGAGGTTTAGTCCATTATCATCATAGCAGGATATGGAGCTGTGCAGGCAGACATGGTGCTGGAGAAAGAGCTGAGAGTCTTACATCTTGATCCACAGGCAACAGGAAGTTGAACTGAGCTAGATGTAGCTTGAGCATAGGATACCTCAAAGCCCGCCCCCATGGTAAGACACTTCCTCCAACAAGGCCACAGCTCTAATAGTACCACTCTCTATGAGCTTAAGGGGGCAGTTACATTCAAACTACCACACTAATCATCTGGGGATGTTTTCTACTGTAGGAAGGAATCATTAAATAAACAAACAAATAAAAGGTCAAAGAGCTGGGATGTAGCTCAGTTGGCCAATTGATTGCCTAACATTCCCAAGTCTCTGGGTTCAGTCTCCAGCACCTCACAAATGGGGAAGATGGAGGCAGGAGGATCAGAAGTTCAAGGTTATCCTTAGCCACATAGAAAGTTTGAGGCCAATCTGAGCTATATGGTGAGATCTTGCCTCACCAAAAAAAAAAAAAAAAAAAAAAAAAAAAGCAAGCTAAGAAACTCAGTGGCACAGGGCTTGCTCTGCTTGCTTGAGCCCCAGGGTTTCAGCCCAGCAACACACACACACACACACACACACACACACACACACACGAAGTAGAGGAAACAACTCATATTTATGTATCCACAATGTGTGCTTAAGTGAAAATAAGGTTTCAAGATAAGAATGGATACAGTGATTGCCATCTTACAAAATAAAATGCATCTTCATCGTGTAACTTGTGATGTTGAGTAGAAAATACATGGACGAATATATTAGAGAGGAGTCCATGCTTTCTCCACCAGTGCTGATGTCAGTAACAGCTTTATATTTTCTTCTTACATGATTCTAGATTCTAATTGTTCTGCCATGAATCCTATTGTCTGAACAATGGTATTGCTTGTATTAGAGTTATGCTGATTTTAAACATAGGGTTGACCATTCGTCCACCCTGACCTTGTAGGGAAGGGACGTGTATACTGTGTGTTAGGAGATTGTTGTAGTTCCATTTTTGTTGTTGTGATAAGATACCTCGACAAAAGGAAACAAAGGAGAATGAGTGTATTTTAGCTCACACCTTCAAGTTACAGTCTGATTCTGGGAAAAGCACCCAGTCTACCACATGCTCAAATGTCTTCCTCCTCTTGCTTTCCCATTTCCTCCTTAGGTAGTAGAAGCTGTTAATGGCACAACCATCAGCTGCCACTACAACGAGACCATAGATCTGACACCCACCATGGATTCACGACTCTACATGCTCGCCTTCCTGCCCATTCTGGGGCTTCTGGTCTTCATTTGGAACCTCCGTATCCTTACCATCTTCTCCATGTTGGCCAACATCAGCATGTTTGTCAGCCTGGTCATCATTGCCCAGTACATCATCCAGGTTGGTGCATAGCATCCACTGACTCCCCAGGAGACAGGACACTGGTATCCACATGAGGCATCAGGTCCCAAGTCCTAGGGTGGGTATGCTCCTCACCCTTCAGCCTAGGACCCATCTTGCTGTAATGTTCCCTCTTTGTTCCAGCTCATCTTTTTTTTTAGCTGCCTCATTCCTTCTGTGTCGCCAAATGACTGTTTTAAATATCAAATCCGGATTTTTAAAAAGCTATGTTTTTAGGGTTGTAAAGACAGCTCCATTAGGAAACCATTTGCCCCACAAGCATGAAGACCTGAGTTGAGACCCCAGAACCTATTGTGTAAGAGCCAGGGTACTGTAGAACATGCTTGTGATTCCAACACTGAGTGGGGGAGTTAGAGTAAGCAGAGCAGCAAACAGGAGGATTCCGAAGCTGCCTGACAACCAGTCTAGCCAAATTGATGGGCTCCAGGTTTAATGAGAGACCCTGAGTCGAAAATTAAAGTGGAGAGGGACCAATGAAGACCCTTCACATTGACCTTTGGCCTCCACATGCGCCCACACATGTGCATGCACTCCTGTACACACATATGCTACTTCTTCTTTATGTGGGGGCTGTTCCAGGAATCTTCCATCATAAAAACAATCCTGTTTCTTTTAACGTTCTGGACCACGGGCTAAGTAGAGTATCTACTCCACCTGTTCTGTTCTCCCCTTTAATCTACAGCTCAGGAAGGGAAAAGCAGATATGTACATTCAACTATGTTGGGCTCCCTAGGATATTCTATAACTATATTACAATAACTTCTAAAACTCATGCTCACTCTCCACTCATAGAGGTTCTTGGGTGCTGTTGGATGTCACTAATCTGTGATACATACAGTATGCTTTTAGATGTTGTAGGAGCAGCGGGCTGCGTTCCCGCCCAGCTCCCGCACGACTAGCTTTATACCCAAAATAACAACACACAAATTGTATTCTTTTAAACACTGCTTGGCCCATTAGCTCTAGCCTCTTATTGGCTAACTCTTACATCTTGATTAACCCATTTCTATTAATCTGTGTAGCACCATGAGGTGGTGGCTTACCAGGAAGATTCTTAACCTGCGTCCATCTTGGAGAGGAGAGCTATAGCGTCTGCTTGACTCAGCTTTCTTTCTCCCAGAATTCTGTTCTGTCTACTCCACCTATCTAAATCCTGCCCTATCAAAAAGCCAAGGCAGTTTCTTTATTAACCAATGAAAATAACAAATAGACAGATGACCCTCCTCCATCATTTAGAGACTTCTGGTAAACCCGCTCCCTTCAAGAGACACAGATCTTCCATTTTTTTAACAATACCTGCATGCTCCTGCCCTCTGACTTGTTGGTAATGTGCAATATTAAAGTCAATATTTATCATGTTTACCTCATTCGAAAGGCTTGCTGAACTTTTTAACATTCAGTGTTCTCAAATCCAGCTCTCCTCTCAGAGTCCTTCTTGCTTGGAGGAGCTCAAGTGTTCACATGGAGTGACAATCTTGTATTTCTCTCTTCTGTAGGGAATCCCAGACCCTAGCCAGTTGCCACTGGTAGCAAGCTGGAAGACCTACCCTCTCTTCTTTGGAACAGCCATTTTCTCGTTTGAAAGCATCGGCGTGGTAAGGTTGGGATGAAGGTGGCCTTTCCATGGACCTGTGAACCAGTTTCTGGGACGGAGCTAAGAACTCTTGGCTATTGGGTTAGACCTGTGGGAATTACACGTGGGATAAAGCAACATCTGGTCTCATCTGGATCAGTTGCCACCAGCAGATAAAAAGTAGGCTATGGCAGAGAAGCAATCAGCAGATTATGTTTGTCAATGTCTCTATCCAGTGTTTATCTTCTGAGCAATATGAGTTTCCTAGTCTTTTTAAAATCAAGACTAGTCAAAAAACAACAACAAAAATAATCAGGTAGTGGTGGTGCATGCCTTTAATTTCAGAACTCTAGTGGCAAAGCTAGGAGGATCTCTACGAGTTTGAGGTCAGCTTGGTCTACAGAGTGAGTTCCAGGACAGGCTTCAAAGCTACAGAGAAACCCTGTTTTAAGAACCTTGTCAGAAGAAACCTACTCTGTGGAGTCAGGACTCAGTTCTCCCTTCACCTTTTGAGGTGTCTCTCTTACTGCTTTGGCTGCTCTCGGACCTTCAGGCTAGCTGGCCTGTGAGCTTTCTGCAAGTTCTCCTGCTCTGCCTCCCATCTCACCTTAGGAGTGCCAGGATTACAGACGTATGCCACCATGCCCAGCTTTCTGTGGGCCTGCCAGATTGTCCTCCGATCTCTGCACACATATGAAACAAACAAATAAGAAATAAATGTAATGGAAGACTCGAAACCCTCAAACTTCTAGAAGAGAATGATGTGCAGGATGGTTAGACACAGCGGTAGGTCCAGGGAATGATTTCTCTGGATAGGACTCCAAAGGCATAGAGAACAAAAGCAAACTGAGAAATGGGGCTTCTCTAACTAAAGAGCATCTGTAAGGCAAAGCAAGGAAGCGGAGGAGAGACAGCCTTCAGAAAGGGAGGCATGTGCTCACGGGTGAGAGGGCTGACACCAGGGAGGGCTGACACCCGGGATGAGGGCTGACACCCAGGATGAGGGCTGACACCCAGGATGAGGGCTGACGACACCCGGGATGAGGGCTGACGATACCCGGGATGAGAGCTGACGACACCCGGGATGAGGGCTGACACCCGGGATGAGGGCTGACACTCGGGATGAGGGCTGACACTCGGGATGAGGGCTGACACCCGGGATGAGGGCTGACACTTGGGATGAGGGCTGACACCCAGGATGTTTAAGGAACCCGGCAAACAACAGCAAAGTAATCCAGTTGCAAAATGGGTGAATGACCCAAGTGGAGACTTCTTCGAGAAAAACTACAAATGACCAACAAGTATATGAGAATCTGCACCTTCTCGTTAGCCATTGGGTGCATCACAGTGAGGGATCTCCTCACCCCTGTCCAAATGGCTGTTGTCCTAAATCAGAAGCGTAAAGACGGCTCTGCAGTTCAGAGCACTGGCTGCTCTTGGAGGGAATCAAGATTCAGCTCCCAGCATCCACATCAGCTTATAACTCCAGCTCCAGGAGATCCATCATCCTCTTCTGGCCTCCACAGGCACTGCAATGACTCAGAATTTCCTTAGTTTTAAAACAGATTTATTTATTTTTATTCTAAGAGTATGAGTGTTTTGCCTACACACACACACACACACACACACACACACATACACTGCATGCATGTCTATGTCCAGCAGAGGCCAGAAGAGGATGTCAGATCACATGGAGCTGGAGTTACAGGTAGTTGTGAGCTGTCTGATCTAGCCTCTGGGAACTGAGTCTGGTCCCCTACAAGAGCACCAGTGTTCTTCACCACTGAGTCCCCGAATTTTCTTCTTTTTAAAGGCTGTATAATATTCCATTGCATGAATGTATGACATTTTGTTTACTCATTTTCTAAGGATGGACATTTGTCTGCCTCCCACCTTTTGATCATGACTAATATTGACAAGAGCAAGGGCATACAAACACTTTTTCAAGTCCCTTCTTTGATTCATTGATGAACACGTCAGAGGCAGCAAGATTTTCTCTTGTTTGTGCTGTGTCGATGCTGTTACTGCTATCGCTGTTGTTATCCTGCTCCTTACAATGGGATGCTCCTTCAGGTGCTGCCTCTGGAAAACCAGATGAAGGATGCCCGCCGCTTCCCAACCATTCTGTCTCTGGGGATGTCCATCATCACCACCCTGTACATTGCCATCGGGACCTTGGGCTACCTGCGGTTTGGAGATGACATCAAAGCCAGCATCACGCTTAACCTGCCCAACTGTTGGTACCTTCACGGCTCTGGGTGGTCAGGATGGAGAGATGTGTAGATATGTGTGTCTCTTCCTCTGCCCATCAGAGCAGGGAGGCCCAGGTCTAGAGACACTCCCACTGGGAGAGGTGGAGCCAGCTCTGGAACCGTGGGCTATAGAGATGTGTCAGCAGCCGCCTCCAGGTTGAGTCGGGTCTTGGTATCTTAGCATGAAGGCCTCACAACTAAAAGGAAAGGGACAGCAGTGAGGCAGAGTCCTTGGTCACCTCAGGGGAGGAGAAGGGAGTGCTGGGAGAAAGCATAGGATTCTATCTGTGGTTCGGAACCTTCTTGTTCCCCTTCCCAGGCTCACGAGTAAGTCTCTGCTGCCACCCCACCACGCACACACCTGCGCGCGCACGCACACACACACGTCAGGGGAACTAGTGTTGAAAACTTGAGGCAGTGCTATGGAGAAGGTTCAGCAGGTAAGAGAATTGATACACAAGCAGGAGCACCCTGAATCTGATTGCAACACTCCCCCCAAAAGCTAGGCATGTGGCAAGTGCCCATAATCCTAGCGCTGGGAAGGTAGAACCAGAAGACCCCACCTCAAGGTTCACTACCTAAGTTGTCGGGCTGAATTGGTGAGCTCCAGGTTCAGTGAGACACCTTGTCTCAAGAAATAAAGCGCCAAGTAACTGAGGAAGGCATCTGATGTCAACCTCTGGCCTCTATGCACACATACAGCACACATGCAACATGCATGCATGCATGCAACAGACATGCATGTGTGCACACATACAATACACACACACATACACACACACAACACTCGCTCAGCACATTGCACACACATGTGCACACACATGCACACATACGACACACGCATGCACACACACCACACACACACACACACAGAGGAGTTCAACTCCCTTGAAGCCTCACTGTTCCTCCCTGCCCTCAGCTTCAAGCCTGCCATGATCCTGCTTCTCCTTCCAGCTCTCCACACAATCCCACAGATAATGTATTTCCCTCTCATTTATTAAGGACTTGGCAATTCTCCAAACTAGGCAGAGCACTTGTGGAGGGCTCCCGACACGCTGAGCACTTGGGGTGCACGGACAATTACTATAGACTCTAGTCACAAAGGACTTTAGACCCCGACTTTAGGACCCTGGCTACTTTCCTGATGAATCTTCCTGGGAGATGTATCAAGCGTCAGCCTGTCTGTCCTCAGGCCTGACCTGACCACACGTCTCAGAGTGGCCTGTGGAGGCACCATGGGCGCACACGCTCAGGGCGCCTTGCCTCCCATCTTCACGACCCTGCCCTCTGCTGCCATCAGATCCTTGATGCTTCTCTGTTCTCTCCACTCTGGTGAGACTCCTCTGTACTCTGAGAAGGCCCCACACCTTCATCTTCAGAGAAGACACAGACCCAGGGGACTGTCCCCAGATCAGAGGCTGCTGTCCCCAGCCAGCAGGTGCGGGAGTGCCAGGCTGTGGTGAACACAGCTGCGTGTCTTGCAGGCTGTACCAGTCAGTCAAGCTCCTGTATGTCGTCGGCATCCTGTGTACCTACGCCCTGCAGTTCTACGTCCCTGCAGAAATCATCGTCCCCCTTGCTGTCTCCCAGGTGTCAAAGCGCTGGAAACTGCCCGTGGACCTGTCCATCCGTCTCGCCATGGTCTGCCTCACGTGTGAGTAGAACAGAGTCTCAGGGAGCCTCCTGACCATTTCCTGAGTGGTGTGTGTGTGTGTGTGTGTGTGTGTGTGTGTGTGTTCAGTCATATGTGTGCATCCATGTAGTAGCAGAGGACAGCTTAGGTGACATTTTTCAGGCACTACCACCTTTTGTTTTTAAATATGGCCTCTCATTGGTCTGGAACTCCCCAGTTAGGCTAGGCTACCCAGCCAGCGAGTTCCAGAGATCAGCTTGTCTCTGCCTCCCTAATGCTGGGGTTACAAGTGTACCCCACCATTCCTGGTTCTTTTTAACCTGTGTTCTGTGATCCACCTCAGGTCCTTGTGCCTGCAGGGTAGACACTTGACTAACAGAGCCATCACCCCAACCTCCACGTAAGCCAGTCCTACATGTTCCCTAATTAGACAGGTTGCTGATGCCCAGCCAAGGTCAGGTTCGCTGATAGCCAGTGTATTATACAGTGACGACAGAGGGGGTGCCAGGCTCTGTGGTAAACCCTCCCTGGTATATTTCATAATGTTATATTCAGTCCCCATGAGAAGGCTCGTGAAGTAGGACACTGTCACATAACTAGCCGGTGAGTGTTGGGAACTGGGGGCGTGGTCCAGTTAATAGAGCATTTGTCTGGCATTCATTCATTCATTCATTCCCAGTACCTCATAAAGAGGGTGTGTTGGTGCAGGCCTGTGATCCCAGCACTCTAGAGGTGGAGTGAGGAGAGTCAGGAGTTCAGGACCACCCTTGGCCATGTAGCAAGCTTGAAACCAGCCCGAGTTATGTGAGCTACTTTCTCGATAGTTAATAGTAGCAGTAAAAGGGCCAGTGAGATGACTCCATTGGTAAATAAGACATTTGTTGCCCAGCCCGACAACCTGAGTTCAGTCCCTGGAAGTCACATGGCAGGAGGAGAGCATCACCTCCTAAACGTTGCCCTCAGACTTCTACACATGTGCTGAGGTACACTCCACATACATATACGTAATAAATGGAGTTACATTTAGTAAAAATAATGTTAATGAAGGAAAATAAACAGGATTCAAACCCAGGTCATGAAAGCCAGCACCTCCCACCTCCAAGGTTGACACTGAAGGTGGGGAACCAGGGAGGATGTGCAGACAATGGGTGCTGTTTGTCCCTGAGGATTTTGTGTAAATTTAGGTCAACATTTAAAACAAGCATGATACCCATGCTCATGCGGGCAAGCCTAATTAAATCCACAGGGTCGTCTTTAAAGAGATATGAAAGTGGGGGGGTTGTTGAGAAAAAGAGGCCAGGGACAAGTGGGAGGGGGACAAGAGAGGGTATTGGGGGTGAGTGTGGCCAGCATTCCGTATATACCCACAGGAAATTGTCAAAGGATAAAAAAATAAAAATATGCACAAAAATCATTTGATGGGGAGAGCAATCAGAACACACACACACACACACACACACACACACACACACATGAAATAGTAAATCAGAAGACTGTATGAAGCTATTAACATTTGAACAGAGGTTGAGTAAAAAGTGTGATCTAAACCTAGTTTACTGACTAGATAGGGTGTTCTGGAAACACAGCCACTGCGCTCTCTCTCTCTCTCTTTCTCTCTCTCTCTCTCTCTCTCACGCACGCGCGCACCCACCCACCCACACCTGTCTGCAAGGCCATCCCAGCAGGAGGCTAACCATTGTCATACTGGAATCAAGGAACCATCTGAACCTGGCCTGCCTTCCATTTCCTTTGGTTTTGGGGGATGGTGGATACTGCTAAGACCCCGTGTGTACGAATCAAGCCTGCTTCCTTCATTACCTGCATGTCCAGAGCCATCACTTGGGCTCTCCTGGATTCAAATCACAAAGGAACCTTGTGTTTTCTCTTGATAATCTCTCCATCTTCAGAGCCCCAAACACAGAACCTAAGTGGGCAGAGAAAATCTGCACCCCCCACAACCAAACAATATGAACACACAGTGTTATGGAGAACCCACCAAAGATGACCACTCGGACACAGTAGCCGATTGAAAGCTTTTATTCTAGTCTGCTGGGACTATACTGAGGTATTCGGGGACCCAAATGTAGCCCTGAATACTTAGATCGAGGGGCTTTTAAAGGCAAAATCCACATTCTGGTGTCTTGCTCTGGAGCCGAATTGGAGAGGAGAGTTACAGAAGCAGGTAGTTTAACAGAACTTAAGCTAAGTTAGCTGGGGCGTCTTGACTTCAGGTTCCTAGAATAGAGCTGGGTTCTCCATCAAGGAAATCAGACTCTAATTAAACCTGGAAGAGCTTCAGCAAGAGCAGGAGATGGAGGAACCTCTGCACTGTCTTACCCTGTCACCCTAGATCTCAACAAGAGGAATGAGAGGCAGCAACCATTATTCGCCACCCAAGATGAGAGCAGGTGCGCTGGGAGCTCTCCACCTTTTCCTTTCTTTTTTAACTTTTTACATGTATTTATTTATGCATGATTCACATATGCATGTTGACACATGTGTCTAGGTCAGAGGACAACTTTTACCGTGTGTGTCTGGGAATCAAAATCAGATCATCAGAATTAGCAGCAGGTTCCTATACCCATTGAGCCATCTCCATCTCCCATTGGTTTGTCGTTGTTTTGTATCCCTGGCTGGCCTGGAATGCACAGATTCACCTGTTTCTGCCTCCCAAGTGCTGGGACTAAAGGCATGTAGCATCACACCCTGCCTTTTTTTTTTTTCTTGACTTCTTTCTTTCCTTTTTATAAATCTCATAGAGCACAGGTTGGCCTCAAACCAAACTATGTAGCCAAAGAAAACCTCGAGTTCCTGATCCTCCAGCCTTCACCTCCAAAATGCTGGGGTTGTAGGCGTGTGTCACCATGGCAACTGGGGATAGATGTCGGGGATAGAACCAGAGCTTCATGCACGCTGGGCAGGCATTCCACCAACTGAGATACATTCCCAGCCCTCAGCTTTTATTTGCAAGACTGGCTGTCTGTGGGAGGTTTGGTTTCTTTTAAAGGTGACTTCAGGAACAACCTTTAAAGGTGTTGATGCTAAAGATGAGGTTCTCTATCTGTCCCCCTCCATCTCCCATAGGCATGCTGGCCATCCTCATCCCACGCCTGGACCTGGTCATCTCCCTGGTGGGCTCTGTAAGCAGCAGCGCCCTTGCCCTCATCATCCCGCCCCTGCTGGAGATCGCCACCTACTACTCGGAGGGCATGAGCCCCCTGACCATCACCAAGGATGCCCTCATCAGCATCCTGGGCTTCGTGGGCTTCGTGGTGGGGACCTACCAGGCCCTGGATGAATTGATTGGGTCCGGGAACTCTCTCCCTTTCTCCAACTCCACTATGTTTATTCAGTGACAGAGCCTTCCCTCACCCACGGTGACTTATGTGGTTTCACGTCACCTTTTCTCTGGTCCAAGACATGAAAAATTCGCCAGACACAAGGTGCAGCTGGTCATTTAAGAAAAAAAGGACAAACCTTGGTCATCCTCTGGTTTTCCACACAGTGGAGAGCTCTTCCGTGGAAGCTTTTTGGTCGGTTATCTAATTTCGTATCTTGAGTGGAGCTATGCAAAAATCAGCCACTAGGGGGCAGCAAGGTCCAGCTTCTGGCAGAAGAAGCTCTCTTCCTGTTCATTTAGTAAATAGGTCACATCCTTTTCCTGTCAGTGACTGGAAACACAGGATGCTCACTCACCTCAGCATCAAGATAGAGGGGGCCAAGGTGAGTCCCATGCTCAGGTAAAAAGGCACCATCTGTGTTACAGATAAGAGCGTTGAACTTTCTAAACCACTAAAGTTTTAGCCCAACTCAGAAACCCAGCAGGGGAATAAGAAAAAATCAGGGTCAAGCTGATGAGCTAAGAGCACAAGCCAGCAGACAAAGACAACACTGGAGGAGGTTTTTATGTCTGAATTATTGCAACTGCAATAAACATTCTCGATTGCCTACTGGTCACCAGACATGATATGCGGTTCTTAGAAAATTGTTTGCGTAAAAGTGTTTTAAACACCCTATGACAATGTAATGTCGCAGCTCCAGCCACCAAATGATGGTCTATATGTCACCCCTTTAGTCTTGACCTTGTAACTTGCTTTGACCAACAGTAAATGTTTGGTGAGGGCTTCTACCCTGAGACCGCCATCTCGTTCTGCTCTGTGGAACTAATTTGTTTTAGGTGTGTGTGTGTGTGTGTGTGTGTGTGTGTGTGTGTGTGTGTGTGTGTGTGCATGTGTCCTCAAAGGCCACAGAAGAATATCAGATATCTTAGAGCTGGAGTTACAGGCGGTTGTGAACGAACTCAACAACAAGCCCCATTAACCGTTGGGCCACCTCTCCGGCCCCTGATATTCTTGTTGAGACCTAACTGGCTATAGCTAAATCTTGACTTGCATAAAATAAGAAGCCCTGACGTAAGGGACAGATGCAAGCTAGGGCTCATTAGCAATTATCCACGTCATCTCAACTACCGGTGAGCGTAGCTGAGTGACAGCTCTATTTCAAGTTGTAGGTAGTATCTGTTTACTCAGACCTGTACGTGAGCAAGAATGGACATGTGGCTTTTCCCCACCTCCACTAGAGAACCCTTCCTCCTCTTCCTCCTTTGAGGCAGGATTTTCTTGCTACGTAGCCGTAGCCGAGGCTGTCCTTGAATGCCTTAATCTATCCGGCTTCCCTCTCCTGGGATTAAAAATTCGTGCCACCACACCCAACTCAACTCCCCTTAATCAAGGAGTACAGAAGGCGTGTGTAATCACCCTGAAGACACACCCACAGATGAGGTGTGTTTCTGGAGAGGGTTGACGAGAGAAGCACAAACTTCTCTTGGATATGGGCAGCCCCATCCCATGGGCGGGGTTGTGTACTGAATAGAAAGAAAGAAATTAAGTGTGAGCGTTTTTTCATTCCCCCCGCTCTGTGTGTGTCTCTCTCTTTCTCTCTTTCCCTCCCGCCCCCATCTCTCTCTCTGTCTGTCTCTCTCTCTTTCCCTCCCGCCCCCTATCTCTCTCTTTCCCTCCCGCCCCCTATCTCTCTCTGTCTGTCTCTCTCTCTCTTTCTCTGTCTGTCTTGTGTGTATGTGTGTTTCTTGACTGCAGCATATGACCAGTTGCCTCACGGTCCTGCCACCATGCTATCCCCACCTTGATGAACTGTGTCCTCAAACTGGGAGTCAAAAGAATCCCTTCCTTCTTTCCTTAAGTTGCTTCTGTCAGTCATTTGTCCCAGCAGTGAGACCAGCTCCTGAGGTCTGTATACATCGCCATTTCAGTAGAGGATCCAGGCTCGGTTTGCTGAAGACCAACAGAGTGACAAGAGGGGTTGAGTGTCAGCTCCCGCTGCTCTGCCAGGCCTAAAGAAAGGTCTTTGAACAAAGCAAAAGTGAAAAGTCAAAGAGAAAGTAGAAAAAACATTTCTAGAGAATTACATTGTATTTCTATATTGTATGTATGTGTGTGTGAATGTGTCTGTGCATGTGCCTGTGTGTGTGTGTGTGAGTGTATATGTGTGTGTGAGTGTGTGTGTGTGTGCGTGTGTGCGTGTGTATGTGAGAGAGAGTGTGTTGTCTGTCTGTGTGTGAACTCAGAGGGCAACTTTGAGAATCTTTTTTGGCCTCTCTCCATATGAGTCCCAGAGATTGAACTCAGGTCATCAAAATTCGAGGCAAGTATTTTTACCTACTGATCCATTTCACTACCCCGTGCACCAGATTTGGTTTTGGAGACAGGGTCTTACTCTGGCTAGCTTGGAACTTTCTGTGTAGACCAGGCTGACCTGAAACTCACAGAGATCAGGTTGCCTCTGTCCCCCACCACCACCCCATGCACGGCCACGCCCACTCATCTGAAAAGTTTCTGGAAGAGTCCTGGGAACTGCACAGCCCTGTGAATGCACCGTGAACCATTTGCTTGGTGACAATCAATGGTGGGTCGATGGTCTCATACATATACTAGTACCAAATACTCTTTTCCAAAAGCAGAATTGCCGCATGGTGTTGGTGGCTGTCTGGGGAGCGGGTGACACATGCCAGCACTTGGACACTCCAGAGAAGACTGTTGACTCGGGTGATTTCTACCACCTTTTCCCTCATCCTTCTTATAACCTGAGCACAGCATTGTGACCTGTGACCCTGCCCCTTGGCCTTCTTAGCTGAGTGTTTATTGTGTCCTTGTACAACCTGCGCAAGTGCCGATTCCTTAACCCAGAACCACAGGAAAGAGGAAGCTTTCTTCACCATTGATGGGACTGCCAGCTGGTGCTGCCACTGTGAAAATGGGTGTGTTTTGGTTCCTCAAAACAAAAGCGGAAGAGCTTTGTGACCCTGCCAGACTACTCTATTTTCAGTATAATATTTGTATTAATTCCTTGAGAATTTCACACATGCGTACCATGTATTTTGATCATATTCTCCTTTCACCCCACAACTTAGCTGGGGCTTCTATTGCTGCAAAGAAACACCATGACCCAAGAGCAAGTTGAGGAGGAAAGGGTTTACTTGGCTTACATTTCCACATTATACTCCATCATTGAAGGGAGCCAGAACAGGAACCTAAACAGGGCAGGAACCTGGAGGCAGGAACTGATGCAGAGGCCACGGAGAGGTGCTGCTTGCTGGCTTGCTTTCCATGGTTTGTTCAGCCTGCTTTCTTATAGAACCCAGGATTACTGGGCCAGGGAGGGCCTCACTCACAATGGGTTGAGTCCTCCCGCATCCATCACTAACTAAGCAAATGCCATACAGGCCTGCCTACAACCCAATTTTATGGAGACTTTTTTTTTTTCAATTGAGGTTCCCTCCTCTCAGATGACTTTAGCCTTATCAAGTTGACATAAAACGATGCAACAATTCCCCCAGTCCTTCCAGATCCACCCTCCCTCTCCACTTCCTCCCAGCCTTGCTGCTGCTTCTTTTGTAATTAACCACTGAGTCCAGTTTGTGCCGCCCATACACTCATGGATGTGTGGTCATCCACTGGGGCTTGTTCATCCTATCAAAGCCACAGCCTTAGGCTAGCTCTTCCTCCCTTAGAAGCCATCAACTGCCAGGAACTCTGTGTGTGTGTGTGTGTGTGTGTGTGTGTGTGTGTGTGTGTGTGTGTTTGTGTGTTTGTGTGTGTGTGTGTGTGTGTGTGTGTGTGTGTGTGTGTGTGAGAGAGAGAGAGAGAGAGAGAGAGAGAGAGAGAGAGAGAGAATTCTGTTGTAAGAGGAGTGGCGGGGCTGCGTCCCCAGCACCCCGGCTGCCTGGCTAGCTTATGCCCGAAATAACAACTACAAACTGTATTCATTTAATCACTGCTTGGCCCATTTCTATCTAGCCTCTTCTAGGCTAATTCTCACATATTAATTTAGCCCATTTCTAATCATCTGTGTAGCGCCCCTAGGTGCACTTACTGGGAAGATTCTAGCCTATGTCCATCCTGGGTCGGAGCTTCATCACGTGTGTCTGCCTGGGAGCTGGGAGCATGGTGTCTCTCTGAGGCGTCTGCTCCCGAGAGGAGAGCTGTGGAGTCTGAGCTCACTTCCTCTTCCTCCCAGCGTTCTGTTCTGTTTACTCCTCCCACCTATCTTCTAACCAATGAGGGCCAAGCAGTTTCTTTTTATTTAACCAATGACCTTCCTCCATCATTCCCCCTTTTTCGGTTTAAACAAACAAACAAAAAAAAAGACTTTAACTTTAACATAGCAAAATTACATATAACAAAACAGTTATCAAGTAAAAGTTACAATAATCTTTATCATAACTAAGGAAAACTATAACTAACTATTCTTAACTCCATCAAAGACTCCAGAAAGATACAATACTACCTAAGCAAACAAGAAAAAAGCAACTTTTAAAACTCTAGAAATGACAGAGACATCTCGCTGCCTGGACAGGCACCCAAAGTTCCTCTGTACCGTTGGGGCATCCATCTTCAGCCTTCAGGCCCATGGTATCCAGCAGACATTTCCATAAAGCAGGAAAATTCAAAGTCAGTTCAGTCACTATCTGTTGTGGCCTGCAGAATGTCTCACAGACTCTTTCACGAATCAGGAACCCCGAAAGATCATCTCACCTTAGGCAAGTTCAGTAGTCCTCTCTCTGTGGGTTCTCTGTGTCCAGGTTATGCAATAGTCCAGGCAAGAGCAGTTTCTTGCCCAAATGGCTATCAAAACTCCATAACGAGCCTCTTCGATGCCCATCTTCCTCTTGAAGTAGATTGGTGCTGCCAGGAGCAGAGTGTCTCATTGTCATGAAAAGTCCTCAGTTATTAAAACATTAAATGTCGTACTCTGTAATCTTTGAAAGACATGAAGAATGTCTATCTAAAATATATCTCTATATATCTAGAAAATCTAACTAACATGACTACAAGCTTTACTATTATCGATGATTATCCATTAACAACCTATATTTCTTAATTATACAGTACATATTTAAATGAACTACACAATCACAATACCTTAATCAAAATAAGAAACACTTATACATATAACAAAATTGACTTTAAATCTCTATCAATAAAGCAAAATCTATACTAATGCAAATTATTCATATCTATATCATATCCCCCTTTAAATGTAAAAGAACATTTATAAACATTTTTTGGGAATATGGGCGCAGTTATTTCTCTCCAAACTGCTTCCTGCTGAATGGGGCCGTCGTTAATTAGGTCTTTCATGCTATAACCTGTATGCTAGTTTCATCTCAGTTGGCAGTTGAGTGAAGCAATTTTCTGAAGGTGTTCATACCAACCCTTCAGGAGGGCTTGGTCCATCAATACCAAATCGGAATAGAAGAAATGAACAGGGTCTCATCCTCTGTGAAAACAAAATAAGAAACTCCTTTCCAAAGCATCATGTCCTTAGATCCAAATTTCAAAGTCAAGGCATCAAAATATCTATGTTGGATTAGTTCAGCAGCATTTATAAATAAATATCTTTTAGCATCTGTTGCTCCTTCCTCAGCATTTAAATAATTTAAAGA